AGAGGAACCTGCTGAGGGAGGCTCGTCGACCTCCGTGTTTTCCAGGAGGGAATCAGGTCAACCAGCCTCGTTGTATTCCTCAAGGTCGTTGTCATCTTCCAGCCAGTTGGAGCCAGCCAGCTCCTGACCGACAACTGTAAGGCTTTGTCCAGCGAGTACGTGTCAGCCACCGGAAATTCCTCGTCGGCAGCGGAGGTGAAGTACTCGACCCGGCGGATTTTTTCAGCTACAGGCAGAGCGGCACAAAACGGGCACGAGGCCTAGGGGCTCAGGGCCAGGCCAGCGTGATGAGCCCCGAGACAGACCTCACATTTGGCGTGAAGGTCGCAGCTGGAGATGAAGCCTCTCTGGCAGGCCGGGCAGGTCCTCACGTCACTGGACATGCTTGGTAAGTAGGATAGGGCTGCAACAACGAATCGATAAATTCGATGAAAATCGATTACTAAAAGCGTTGGCAACGAATTGCGTCATCGATTCGTTGTGTCGCACAACTCTTCCAAAAGCGCCCCCCCCCCCCCCTCCTGCCCGCCGTTGCGCGCAGACCAGAGCAAGTCAGATCAGCGCGAGGGAGAGCCGGCAGATCAGCGCGAGGGAGAGCCGCAGATCAGCGTGAGGGAGAGCCGGTACCGGCAGATAAACGCGAGGGAGAGCAGCAGATCAGCGCGAGGGAGAGCCGGCAGATCAGCGCGAGGGAGAGCCGCAGATCAGCGCGAGGGAGAGCCGCAGATCAGCGTGAGGGAGAGCCGGTACCGGCAGATCAGCGCGATGGAGAGCCGGCAGACTTGCGCTGCTGCGAACCGGTTCCGCATTGTCGCGCAGCGATCCAGGCAGCTGCTTCCAGCGCACGGTCCATTCTCAAAGTGGCGCAACCAAAAAACTATAATTAGCACACGATCGTTCATGTCCGCACATATTCTCTATTTTCTGTCTTATTTGTGCCTGAAGCTCGCTACTGTGGAGCTCATCACCTCTGCTGTGGTGATGTCACCTCACGCAGCATCGAAAACGCGCTCTGCGCTTTTCGGTCAGGAGATCCCTTTGATCTGCTCAAAAGTAACTGATGAGGTGAAAAGGTAAGAATCCAGGCAACAGATTTTCTGGAGAATTATGAGGAGATGCAGGAAGATGAGAGACAGACAGGACAGGAAAATAGTTAAATAAAAACAAGAAAACAAAACAAAGTATTGAAAAGTCAAATGTAGGTAGATTTATCTCCACGACACGTTTTTACCAGTAAAAAACAATAAGTTATACACATGTCATATTTATACATCTGATACAATTCAGATCACCTTCAAAACTCAGTCACACACCCAGGGCCGTTTCAAGACATTTTGGGGGCCAAGGCAAAATGCCCCCCCCCCCCCCCCCCCATAACTGGGCTCCCCAGAAGCCTCTGTGTAATTCATGCCCTCTCCAGTAGTGTTAGTTATATGGTGTTTATAAAAGCCCCTCAGACATTACTGACATGTTCTAATATTATCAGATGAAAAACTAAATTATCAGACATGCTGTCTCATCTGCTGCTTTTCTAAACCTGCTAAAAGTAACAAAACCATTTGAAAGCCACTATTTGTGGATTCTCTGAAAGTTTCCATGGAGTGTGTGACAACTTATTTTTTCATTGATCCTATCGTCTAATCTCACAGCTGAAACAAGCATCCTTAATCATCTGTGCACAGGAAGCTTACCGATGCTGTAGTAAAACAAAAGGTATAATAATTTATTATTAATAAAACCTTGTTGCAGCACTAAAGCAGAAAAATTAGATTTTGCATTAAATATGCAAAATATTTACATATGAATTGTTTTAGAGCCCTTTAATTGGCAGAATCTGATATTAATTTAGTTCTTACAAAAAATGGGTCCCAACATGGTTTGTGTGGCGTTGCCATAGTGTGACGTCATAGGCACAGATCCCCTGTCCTCTTGTTTGGAAATGGAAATATGGTCACCCTACATTAAACAAACTGTCCACCCGGGCTTTTGCGCTGCACAGAGACGCTTCGCTGCCTACGACTGAATGTCAGTTGAGAGTCAGTCTCATGCAGACTGACCAATGAAGAGAGGGCCTCAAGTTAAGACCCTCTCCTCATTGGTCAGTCCACACGAGGTGGGTCAAAGGTTACTCTGGGCGGGTTACGTGTTGTCAGGCATTCAAGTATTGAGTATATTTACTGCATATCACAGTAAAATATTCTGTATGTGACCACATTATGGTGATCCTTGGGTCGTGATGATGGAGCCCTTGAATATTGTTGCCCAGGGTACAACAAAGTGTTAATCTGGCCCTGGTTCCGTCGTCACATTCCCGCAGAAACTGGTTGATCACACCGGGGCCAGACTACTAGCATGTGGTTTTACAACCACAATGTCCTCAGAAGCAAAAACGCTTTTAAAAGGGAGGGAGGAGTCCTAACTGTTGCTGCAGGCGTGTTGTGTGAGAGTGCCGTTATATACTGGTTAATATATTTTTGGGTTCAGTTGCTTTCATGTGGCCTAATGTGAGTCTATTTGGGATCATTGGAATGATCAGCAGCATTTCTTGATGTGACTTTATGGCAGTTGCCCAGGGCATCATCGCAAGGAGGATGGCATTCATTTACTTTTGTTTTATTTGGTATTTTTTCAGTCAGTTTTGGAAATAGTGATCAATTTTGATTAATTCACAGCCTATGTTTAATTACATTTAAAATAAATGTTAACAGATGAGATCAAACAAAACAGATGAGAATTGCCCTTAAGCTGTTTAACTTGGACCAAGCATTTTAGGTCACAGATAGATGTAGCTTAGGGTCTCTGTCTATACACCTTATAAGACAATTTAGGTGATGGCATGTTGTTTTTCTGCTATTGAAGTGTTTTCTAATAATGTTGTGTTAAATAAAGTGAAGGAAGGAGAGAAATAACGTTTCCCTAGCAGTTTTTAAAAATTTCCCCATGTAATCCGATTAATCGATTAATCGTGTCGAGACCCCATCCGATTAATCGATTATCCAAATAATCGTTTGTTGCAGCCCTAAAGTAGGATAATATGCTCTTGGATAATGCTCTTTAAGATAGCTCTTAAACTTGGCTTGAAGAGATAGCGGAGGCGGGCAGTGGAGTCGATCCACTTATATGCCCACGGGGGTGCCCACCATTGGTGGGTGTACATTTAAGCTCTTCATGATTGGCTGATGCTGAGAACACCCTTCCAATAGCAGCAAGCTTAAAGGCTGCGACTAGACGAAATAGAACAACATAGTAATAACCATTATTATAAATGCTTTACTGGTTTCTGTTCCAGTATAGAGGGTAGAACTTATATTTATGTCATGTGATGACAAACTATATATTTTTAGTCATAGTTGTCCAAATGTCAAAGTTTATATTAAACTATGATTCAGCAGTCAGTCAATGATAGTAAGTACTGCTCACGAAATATTTCATAGCCTTGGAGTTAATTAAAGTAAATAGTAAGGAATAGGGCTGCACAATATATCGAAAAATTATCGTCATCGCGATAACAGGACGTGCGATAGGCCCATCGCAAAGCACGTCAAAAACGGCGGTAAATGTTTGATTCAAACATTTCCATCCGTGTCATACATCACCTTTTTGTAAACCAGCTCTGTTTTTTACGCAGAAGTATTATTTGACCAAACAAATGTAGCCCTTCTGATATGCGGCCAATCAGATGAGTCTGTCACGTAATACGCCCGCCCCCTATGTAGACCCTTTTGGAAAGCAACACCTGAACATTAGCGGCGCCGTTCCCTTGTTCGTCATGCTGGCTCAGATTAACGAACGAACTTTGTGCTGAGGTTTCTGGAATCAGCGCTGCTTTCAAACGTGAAAATGAGTCCGCTCGGTGTCGTTAAGCAGCTGATAATAACCGGGCTGACTCCGACACGTGCCGGTGAACCAACCCAACTTCATGTCGCTAGTGTTCCACCGGGTGGTGATGTTAGCGCCAGGCTCCGGTTAGCTTCCAGCTAAAAGGCTACAGCACTCTCCTCCCAGTCCCACCCTGCAAAAGAGGGCCTGGAAAAGTTCCCCCACACATCAAAGTGATTTTTCATTTATGAGCTTTTATAACCTTGTTAATCAGGATAGTTGATTTGCTGCTGCACATAAACTGTCAGTCAGAAGCTCTGCTAGCCGGTTTTCTTAAGAGGAGCTAGTTCAATTTGTTAGCTTGTTATCAGAATCATAGTTGCAGTTTCATCATCTGAGCTGCTTTTTAAGATCTAGGTAAACTTGTTCAATTTGGGGTTAAAAACAAACGTTTTCACATATTTTCCATGTAGTTTTTGTGTCAGTTCCACTTCTGAAAGGTAGACAATAGTTTTTCTCTTTCCCTCAGAAAATCTTAATATTCTCCTAGTTTGGCCCAGCACAGTTCACTTCCCAATTACAGCAACAGCCTTATATCATAACCACACAAGTGGAGAAAATGCTCAGTAGCAATGAGAGAATTTGCTGTTGCATTTAAGTGATGTTAGCTATTATTTAACATTTAAACTTATTTTCTGATTTTTTAAGTTTATTCAAAAAACCCTGGTAAGGGATGTTTTTCTGTATTTGGAGCATCAGAAAAAGTTTTATGGTGGAGGTGATGTTTTAAAGTCACTGAGAAACTGCATCCATGCAGTTTGTTGTTTTGCTGCTAATACAGTAGCAGGTGTAGCTGCATATTTTTGCAATAAAAATGTTATGTTGTAATGGAATTCATGCATTAGTTTTTGTTTGCTTTGAACCCAGAGCAGACGTCACACGCCAGACGACATCAACACTGCATACTTTAGTATTTGTTCATTTATCGTGAGTAATATCGATATCGCAATATTAAGCACTGTTATCGAATATCGTAGGTTTTCCTAATATCGTGCAGCCCTAGTAAGGAACATTAAAAGGCTTATTATTACACAGTTTAACCACAATCTGTTTAAAAACGGCAATACCATTACCGTAATATGGGCGGTTGCTGACACAGACTCTGACAAATGAATGCTTACGTAGTTTGAGATGAATGGCTGGAGCTCTAGACATGATGTAAGGTCCTCTTTTCTCCACTGGCCGGATGCCTCCATCTGTGGTCTTTGGTCTTGCGCTGCTACTTGGGCCCTAAAAAACATCATCAAAGCCTTTAAGGAATTAGTCGGATTCTAAATACGCTCATCCGCAGGAGGTACATAAAATAGACCATCAATTAAATCACTTAGTTAGAAGACAAAGTATAATGACCAACATAAGTATTTAGAAAGTTTGAAATAATAAAAATACATATATACATACCGTAGTTAATTCATTTGTTTGGGTTTATATGTCTTAATAGTGAACTCTTTCTTATTTTGACCTAGGCATTCATTTAAAGTCAAAATATAATCCCAGCTAGTCACACACACACCCTAAAGACAATTTATAGAAAAGCAAACATTTGTATATTTACTTAGAAGTAATTTGTTGACTTTAAACGTTAAACTTTAAACGACCTCCGACAGAAATCTCACTCTCTGGTTATGTTTCATTTTTTACAGTAAGTCGAGAAAAACAACTGACAAAAACAGATATTATGCTAGGCTAGTTAGCTAGCCTTTCTGTTTCCAATCAAACCAGCCTTTACCGATAAAACTTGTTCCTGCGGTGTCTCCAAAAGGGAGTCTTTCTCCGGTTCCTCCATTATGTCGTTCATCATTTTGGCTTTAGTTGTCATGGTTTACATCACAACACATTTCTCATGACAGCCGCCCCACAGTCAAGGGACACTTAGGCACTTCTTCTGTTAGCCAGCCAGGGTAACGCTAGCTAAGAGTCCTTCCGGGAGAAAGTAAGATTGTCAAATTAAAGCATATAAATCCTACAAAACAAGCTTTAATTTTTCATTATTCAAACAAACAAACAAATAAAAAAAAATAATTAATTAATTAATATTCATCACAAAAGCTTTTCGTATTAGAGTAAAAATAGAATAAACAGAAAGTAAAAGTAGTACTAAACACGGACAGTTTCACTTTAAAACTATTCCTTTTTTACCTTGACAAATCTGAACGGCGTAGTTATGTAAATTAACACGAGGAGGCTGAAACACATTTAACCCCAAAAATTAGAGAAACGTTTTTTAAATGTTTAAAAAGAAAGCTCGTATTAGTTCTCATTATCTGCAGTAGCTACTAGAGCCTGTGAAATTTGACTAAAAGAAGATGGACTTACAGATAAACATTTCTAAAGGGATCATTAGAAGGTTAACAGGATCTAATTTAGAATTTAGCTTACTGCTAACCTGTGTCACCAAACAATTTTTTTTCTGCATAAAGAAAAATCTGTTACAAAATGACAAATATGTGCTTTAGAAATTTTAACATCAGACAATACCATACTAAATGTATTTCTTTATTGCTGACACGGGAAGTGTTGCAGGGACACGTTAAACATTTGCTAAGAAATACTTTATTTTATCTGAATGGGTTGGTTTAGTCACAATATGACCTAAAATACCTTTGCAAGACTGAGAAGGTGATCTGTCGAAGAAACAGGTCCCCTGCTGTCTGATCCTTGTTTAAAAGATGTCAGAAAACAAGTACTTCCATTTTCAGTACCAGAGCTGAGAGTCAGGAAGGTTATTACTACTTCCTGCTACATCTCTGAGGAGTGAACACCAAAAACTAAGACTTCTTTAAGAGGAACACAAATGATCATGTGTATAAATCATATCCTCACCATAACGTCGGACAAATTGTATTTTTGTACTCACTGTATTTTTTAAATTCCATATGAACCTGCATGTAAATAATATTGCATGTGGACGCTGGCCGATTTAAGCTAAATTGAAATAATGTTAAATAAAAACCTATATAATATGCTGCTTCGTTTTATCTGAGTAACACGTGACGTAAGGTCTGATTTAGAGGTTTCTGTCGCCACCTAGCGGCGAAAACACATCAAGTCTAAAGAGCCTGAGAAAACACTGTAAACTGGTTTATTCCTGGTAAAGACCCTGATATTTACAGTTAATGGGAATATTTGTCCAACAAATGACGTAAGCCCTTTATAAAGCAAACAAAAACCACTCCAGACTCAAAGGCTCCTTTCAATTTGGGGTATTTTTTCCCAGACCAGACTTTTTCAGATCATTTTAATGCCAACACATTTGTAGATTTAATATCAGTGTTTGGGCAACTGATGGCAGACCACACATGGTGTGTGTCTCCTTCTAATAAAAATTATAAATGTTCCTCTTCGAACTGAAATATAAAAATAGCAAAATACAGAATGAAACATGTTATTTAGTATTTGATGTGTTCGCTCAATCAGACAGTAATGCCTAAACAAAAACGTCTGGGCAGAGTCTGGTAACAAACATGTTCCTGCATTTTTTATATCAAACTAAATCTGTGCATTTCCAAACTCGACAAACTTTGTAGAAATCCTGACATCAGTAAAATCAGCTAGTTGTTCTGTAAATGTCTTCACTAAACATGTAATTTTATTTCCATATAGATCAAACATACACTCATCATTTATTTAGCCCTGTTACCCAACCCAGAATTGTACCATTAAAGAGTAAAAATTCCAGGAATTGATTGTTAATAATATATCCTTTATTTTGTACACAACAGGACAGCATGATTGAATTAACAATATAGACAATTTAAACAACCAGGAGAACTCATCTCTTCCTGTGAGAGAGGGACCTGAAGACAGAAAGAGAGAGAGACATGTTCAATAATGCAAACATGTTATGATCAGGTGAAGATGAGCCCATGTGGCACGTATTCTCACCTGGACGGTCTACAACTTGTCAATTCCAAGCTCCTCAGGTGTTGAGATGCCAAGCTCTGTAAGAGTGGGTTTCAGCTCCTGGATCAGGTAGGGATAAATGTCCTTATGGGGACCTGCTTTATCCTGAGGGAGACATGGAAAGCTAAAGATGGACACGCTTGTTCTGAGAATCAGCAAGACTCCAACTCACCCTCACTGCTTCAAGGATACGGATGGCGCTGGCCAGGTCGTTCAGTCTCCGACAAGCTCTCAGAGCCGAGTCCAGGATCTTGGGTTCTGGAACGAGGTCGTACCCAATCAGGGTGTTCATGCCTTCAGGTGGGAATAAAGTTGTCATTATAATGGAGGTTATTGGAAGTTATTTAGTCTGAAGTAGGACTGGGCGATACAGCCTAAAATCAATATCACGATATATTGAGGATTTAACCTCGATAACGATAAAAGGACGGTAACTACAGGTATGCGCAGAAACAAAAGTTGTCCATGAGATGGCGGTGTCGCATGTATTACGTTTAGTCAAATTTTTAAGTGACTCAAGGTGGTAAAGCTTCTTAAAGGGACATGAATGCTGCCGACCTACACACATCTTTTCTTTTTTTTTTAATTATCAAATTTATTGACATGGGAAAAATTATCTCAATAAGAGTCAGAAATTTCAATAACGATACATTTTCGATTTATTGCCCAGCCCTAGTCTGAAGTATTAAAACAAATATGTGAAAACTGGAATAATCAAATCAGAGGAAGTGAGCTAGCATTAGCCTCGTTTTCAGCTAACACTTCCACATGAAAACACACCAGTGTTTAATTAAACTGGATGAGCAAAATGAGAGGTTATGTTATAAAAACAACACAGGAAGAAAACACCCAAAATAATATTAGCTTTGGCTTAAATCTAGCCAGTTAACCCATAAGTAGGGTTGGGCATCGAGCATCGATTGGAACCGGTTCCAACGGTTAGTTTTTCCCAGAATTGTTCAAAGTTTTTTATTTCGATTCCTAGTTTCAATTCCTAGAATGCCAACCAGAAGATGTATCCGCAGCCAACCTGCGTGAAAAATAAACGTGATCCGCAAACTGTGATCAGCGCTTTTCAGAGCTGATCACACCAGATGTCTGTGTGCAGCACCGAGCACCCCCCCCCCCCCCCCCCCCCACCTGGCGCGCAGCAGCCAAATATAAACAAACGCGTCTGCAGGACTTTTACTCCATAATGTAAACTTTAACTCCTGCAGCTTAGAGGAAACTTGTAAAATACGTCAACACGGTGGATTTAATAGAAGCTTTAAAGAACAAACTCTGGATGGTGTGAGGCGAGTTTGTCTCACTGCAGAAATAAAAAAACACACGGAGCGTCAGCAGTCAGATGCAGCTGCTCACCAACACTTGTGTGTGTGTGTGTGTGTGTGAGCGTCAGAGGGCTGAACAATAACCTGTAGAATAATTAAAGTCATCATGCTAGAGCAGCTTCTCTGTGGTGGACCACACCATCTTCTGCCACATTAAATAATTATAATTATAATAATAACTAGAACTGCAAGCAGTTATCAACGGGTTCCAAGCCCCCAGCGCCAGTCGCCCACCTGCCCCGCCCTCAACTTCGCCAGTCCTCACCCGGTCCCGCCCCAAAAACACATTCTCCCGCCGGCGTCCCGTCAGCTCACTTCAACCGGCGCAATGAAAGTAACACTCAGGATACGTCATTAAACCTGCAAAGCCTTTACACATATCTTTCAGAGGCATGGCTGACTTCTCAATGGTGATTACAATGGAATTCCACTGTTTCCTTATAAAAGAACGTGAAGATTTAATGAGTGAGATTATCAAACAATAATCTATACATCAACAGAATATTACAAATAACATAAATACTTGATAATGTCTTTAGATTTAAAAGATTTTCAACAAAAACTACGAGTTTCATTTTGTGACTTACTGACCAAATGTTTTAAAAAATCATGAAAAATACATAAATCATCCTAAAATTACCAAAATATTCTCACATGGCAGTGTTAACATGCGGAATAACACGGTGTTGTTTTTAAATCAGTAGACTCAAAGCTTTTTTGAAGAAAAATTGGGAAATATAACTATAAAGGTCACAACAAAAATTAAAATATTCATAAAAAAATAGTGCTACTTTCTAAAATTAGGAGAAAAATCTCAGATCACCATAGGTACATGTGGAATGTTGCAAATGGCTTATATTTACTGTATACCTAAAAAAAACTTTCTAACAAAAAGTAATTACGTTGTTGTCCAACTATACAGAAAAATTGGCAAAAAGTAAAAAATTCATTAAAAATCAATGCTTTTGTACAAAAATCTCAAAATATTCCCAGATTGCCTCTGTGATGTGTCTATTGTGCTCATATTTTTGAAAAGATCATAATTGTCAAACTTTTCTTACAATAAAATAATATTTGCATTAGTGGCTGTAGGCAAAAATATGTCCTATAATTAAACACAAGGGGGAGCTCAAATCAAGACGACATTTTTTTCGTTTCATAAACCACCTAAGAGGGAACTTTGTGGCAAATTACAAGAAGATTGTGAGAACAGAATTTGCGCTACAATTGCTAGCCTGAAAATGTATTTTCGTAAATATAAAGCGCAAACCTCTTCGTAGAGCTGCGGCTTTCGTGACATAAGCTCTAGCCTATCCAGTTAACACAATCTGGAAATCTTAGCCTCTTACATGCAAATAGTGATTTTTAGGAAATTTTTCAAATTTGAAATTTTAAATGATCATAAACCACGCCCACTTTGATCAATAATTACCATATTGATAATGTAGTCTTAAGACTCTATAGTGATGACAACCACTAAGTTTCTTGCAGATCCATTTAGCCGGTTCAGCAGTATAATTTCTTCCCAGTTATAGCGCCCCCTATTGTTTAATCAAGTTGAAAACCAGAACATACACTTGAATTGACCTTAGGTATGACTGTTATGAACAGCTTTAAAAAATCTCAAAATCTTCTGAAGTTACGCTAAAAAAACTTTTTCATTCCCAAAAAATTATTTTAAAAAATCATATTAAAAAAAAAAAGCAATTTATTGAAAATCCCTTCACATCTTTTGGTCAGCCGCTCCTCCTCTCTTGTCAGGGAAAGTTGTGATGTGATTGAGTTTGACGGCCGGGAGGAGTTAACGAAAGTACGTTGGACTTACTATGCAAATTTCTACTAATTTGCATAAGTTTAAAACATTTTTTAAAATACTCATCTAAATTTGACTGACTCATTGAACACACTGGACGAGATCATTTGTTTTTTTACGAAAGAAATGGGGAGAAACATGCCAAAAATATTTTTGAGGTACCACAGCGCCACCTATTGGACAAAATTCAAAAAATTTTCTGTGATTGTAGATGTCACTATGACTGATATGAATTGTAATTTTCTGTATAGAATATGTATTTTTCATGAGTAAAAGGGCGAAAATTTTTACAGCCTATAAGCCACGCCCACTTTTTAATCATTTTCAAAATATAGCTTAAGGGTCCGATGATTAACATATGTGCCAAGTTCTGTGGAAATCCATCAAGCCGTTTAGCTGAAACAAACTTTTTGACTCTTTAGCGCCCCCTATTGGTGAATCCAAACAAAATGGGGTAGATAGGGCTTACCGCTCATACTTCATAAGGGTCTAGAGTCTCATCAATTTATCTTGAGAAATGGTGAAGATATCATCAATTACCACATGTGCTAGCTAGCGCACTGATTTTGACATGGTGTCATTAGCCCAATTTTCAATATTTCTGCATTTTTCTTCATCACAACAACTTACCTTAGTCCATAGATCACATGTACGAAGTTTGAAGTTGATTCAACGAAAAATGACGAATAGGTGATTAAAAGTAAGTTTTGCGTTTTTTGCGATCTAGCAAAAAATCTAGTTAGGCGGAAATGGGCGTGGCCAATACAAACGACGTGCAGAATTATCCAAGGATCATGTACATATAAAGTTTTTGACTGTAGGACCTACGGTTTGGGAGCTAGTAGCTGAAACGTATTCACCTCCGCAATAGCGCCACCTAGGTGACTCAGGGTCCAAATTTTCGAATCTGAGTAGCGGTCAGGATTTTGTATCAGACTGCCTTGTCAGATTTTTCCTGGCAATTTCAGGCTCTTGCCCCCATACAGACACAGCGGAGAAGAATAATGAAGAATAATAAATAATGAAAAATCCGTAGAAAAACAATAGGGTTCCCTGCCCTTTGGGCTTGGAACCCTAATAAATAACATTTTTTATTTCCTTTCTGAACTATTTCTGTTGAGTTTTAATGTTTAAAATCTGTTAGATTGTTACTGACAGCAGCTACGTTTAAGTTTCACTTTCTGTTCTGACTGAATGCTGCTGCAGCGTGGAGGTGTAGTTCTCAGTCATCCTGGACATGATCATCCTGAGAGTTTCAGCTGAAAACAGCTGGACGTTTCTGGATATGTTGGAGACATTTAGCCTCTCATCCCAGAGGCTGCTTCCAGACGTTGGTTGTGGTCAGAAACAAACACACTGGTTGTGCTGCAAATCTTTTTCTTTTTTTCTCCAAAACATCTTTTTGTCTAAATGAAGGTGATGTTGTTGTTCATGGAATTAAAATTCATGTTGAAGTTGAGATTATTTCATCAAGTAGGACCTGTGGTTAGCTGGCTCATGTAAAGCATGTCATGTCTTCAAAGAATCGGGAATCGATAGGAACCGGAATCAAACCAAGGAATTGGAATGGGAATCATTCACAATCAAACGATGCTCAACCCTACCTATAAGACCTTGGTGTTTTTAACCTCATCAGTGAGTCAGAACAGACACAATCGTACCATTTAAAAGCTCTTTATGCTACATTTTGAATATATAAGAAATAGTGTATTTTACTTGTATGTTCTGCTGTTTTTGTTCAAATATGAAAACCTTCATGAGAAATAAATACTTCTCTACTAAACAACTGAACCAACAAGCACGGAGATTTTAGGTGTTTAAATAAAATTTAAAAAAATCATAGAAAAATAAAATAACAGAATAAAAAAAATGCATTTTTTGGAGGAAAAAAAATTAAACAAAATATCCCAGCATCACCTTTCTTCAGCTCCCAGGCATCAATGTCAGGCTTGCTGAAATAAGTGACCCAACGAGAGTCAAACTCCTCATCTGTTTCCACTTTGCCATGGGAAAAACACCTGGAGGCCAGCGGAGCTGAAAAAGAACCAGAACGTGTTTTAAATCAACACAACGAGCGTAAGAACTTTGATCACAGTGTAAATGTGATACGTTTTATACAGGTGCTGGCCAGTAAATTAGAATATCATCAAAAGGTTGAAAATATTTCAGTAATTCCATTCAAAACGTGAAACTTGTACATTATATTCATGCAATGCACACAGACCAATGTATTTCCGATGTTTATTACGTTTAATTTTGATATTTATAGGTGGCAACCAATGAAAACATCAAATCTGGTATCTCAGAAAATTAGAATATTCTAAAGGCCAATGAAAAAATGTTTGTTTCTCTAATGTTGGCCAACTGAAAAGAATGAACATGAAAAGAATGTGCATGTATAGCACTCAATACTTAGTCGGGGCTCCTTTTGCCTCAATAACTGCAGTAATGCGGCGTGGCATGGACTCGATCAGTCTGTGGCACTGCTCAGGTGTTATGAGAGCCCAGGTTGCTCTGATAGTCGTCTTCAGCTCCTCTGCATTGTTGGGTCTAGCGTATTGCATCCTCCGCTTCACAATACCCCATAGATTTTCTATGGGGTTAAGGTCAGGCGAGTTTGCTGGCCAATCAAGGACAGGGATACCATGGTCCTTGAACCAGGTGCTGGTGGTTTTGGCACTGTGTGCAGGTGCCAAGTCCTGTTGAAAGGTGAAGTCTGCATCCCCATAAAGTTGGTCAGCAGCAGGAAGCATGAAGTGCTCTAAAACTTCCTGGTAGACGGCTGCATTGACCCTGGACCTCAGGAAACAGAGTGGGCCAACACCGGCAGATGACATGGCACCCCACACCATCACTGACGGTGGAAACTTTACACTGGACCTCATGCAACGTGGATTCTGTGCTTCTCCGCTCTTCCTCCAGACTCTGGGTCCTTGATTTCCAAAGGAAATGCAGAACTTGCTTTCATCAGAAAACATAACTTTGGACCACTCAGCATCAGTCCAGTCCTTTTTGTCCTTGGCCCAGGCGAGACGCTTCTTGCGCTGTTTCTTGTTCAAGAGTGGCTTGACACACGGAATGCGACACCTGAATCCCATGTCTTTCATGAGTCTCCTCGTGGTGGTTCTTGAAGCGCTGACTCCAGCTGCAGTCCACTCTTTGTGGATCTCCCCCACATTTTTGAATGGGTTTGTCGTCACAATTCTCTGCAGGGTGCGGTTATCCCTAGAGCTTGTACACTTTTTTCTACCACATTTTTTCCGTCCCTTCGCCTGTCTGTTAATGTGCTTGGACACAGAGCTCTGCGAACAGCCAGCTTCTTTAGCAATCACCTTTTGTGTCTTGCCCTCCTTGTGCAAGGTGTCAATGATTGTCTTTTGGACAGCTGTTAAGTCAGAAGTCTTCCCCATGATTGTGGTGCCTTCAAAACAAGACTGAGGGACCTTTTAAAGGCCTTTGCAGGTGTTTTGAGTAAATCAGCTGATTAGAGTGGCAGCAGGTGTCTTCTATATTCAGCCTTTTCAGAATATTCTAATTTTTTGAGATACCAAATTTGGAGTTTTCATTAGTTGTCACTTATGAATATCAAATTTAAATGTAATGAACATTGGAAATACATTGGTCTGTGTGCATTGCATGAATATAATGTACAAGTTTCACGTTTTGAATGGAATTACTGAAATATTTTCAACCTTTTGATGATATTCTAATTTACTGGCCAGCACCTGTACATACAGGTAAAGGTCAGCAACTCTCCAGATAGAAGAGTTTTTATTTTTAGAAAATAGGTAACATCGTCCCTTAAAAAAGACAAACGTATTTTAAGACAACCAAAAACCACACATACAGCTCTGCAAGCATTTACCTGTGCTTAAAATATAGTAATCTACCACAAAACAATCCCAAGTCTGAACTAAACACAGAACTGAAAGTGGCGGTCACCATGTTCTCCTGTAAAAGTTATTAAAATATGGAGGATACCATTTTGATGGTTGGCTTCTGAAATGCACAATCATCATCTCCAGTCTTCAGCATGTTCAACTCAAGGTTGTTCTGTGTGTGTGCTGCACCAAAATCCCAGATGTTCCATCTCCAATATCTATGCTGCATGGAACTTTTTTACTAGTACATAACATTTAAATATGCCCTTTAAGTGGAAGAATTAAGTGTTTTCATAACCTTCTGAGGGTAACTCAGCAGGCTGATGACGTGGAGTTGACACATCAGAGTGAATAAATCATTAAAAAAGATTTATTAACATAGGTCTTTTAGAGGATATTTTGCCGTATGTGTGACAATCACAACAATAGGAATTTGCTGCAGTACTTGGTGCAAGAAAAGATTAATGAACAAAAATTAGAATGAATAAATAAACCCAATGAAATGATAATAATACAGAGGCAATAATCAGAGAAGCAGCTACTTCATACAAGTCAGTGTAGGTGCTGATCAGTTCAGGTTTAAACACAACACTAGGGTCATGTGACTGGAACAAAGCAGCTGGAGTGGGCAGTTCGATTGTCATTCATGAATCCAACCACAGAGGGGAAAAAAATGTTTTAGTGGTGAAAGGTTCTGGTCTGAATGGATCGAGCTCTGCTGCCTTCTGTGCATTTAGCACCAGGTCGTTGTGGCTGCACCCGTTTGACCTCCATTCTGTAGGCAGACTCATCCCGGTCAGAGATGAGTCCGAAGACGGCGGTGTTGTTGTCTGCAGCTTGATAAGCTTGGCAGACTCGTGGTTGGAGGAGGTGCAGCCATTGGTGTACTTGGAGGAGCAGAGGGGAGAGAACACAACTCTGAGGAGAACCGGTGCTTACGGTCAGCAGGTCCGAGACATTCTTCCCAACTGACTTGTTGCTTCCTGTTCGTCAGAAAGTCAGTCCAGATGCTGCAGGATGAAGTGTAGAGCTATATTGATGGCATCATCTACATACCTGTTGGCTCTGTGGGCAAACTGCTGGGGGTCCAGGTGGGGGACTGTGAGGGTCTTGAGGTGAGGGAGAACCAGGTGCTCAAATGACTTCATGACCACTGATGTCCGAGCCACAGGTCTGTAGTCATTGAGTCCAGTGATCCTTGGCTTCTTGGGGACAGGGACTATGGTGGAGGTCTTGAAGTAGGCGGGCACATGAGATGCCTCCAGTGAGGAGTTGGATATGCTTGTAAACACTGGGGCCAGCTCTTCAGCACCGTGTTTTAGAGTGGCAGGGGACACACCATCAGGTACTAACAAAGGGGGTCATGACAAGGTCGTGGTTTTTTTCCCTTTATTTCCACCTAGCTGTGCGTGATGTCCATAATAAAATTCAATAAACATGTCTAAACTCGCTTAACCTGAAGCTCATGCGGACAGCCGCTTTCAAAAATCATTCAATGTCACCTCATGTTAGCCGCACTAGCAGAAGCTAAGCTAGTTAGCTTACCGAGCAAGCTAACAGGACCAAACTATGGGGTTCTTTTGTCTGAGGTGAAGCGTAAGGTTCTACCTGAGCAGCTGGGTCGGGTCCGAACCAGACCCCGGGTCCCCGCGGTCGACAGACGGACAACAGCTCGAAACATGGTACCGCACTAGAAGTGCTAACCGTACTGTAAATGACAAAGAGGGGGGGGACTGTGGACGGACGGACACGAAGAGGGCACGAAGCATCACGTGATTCACGGAAACAGCCGAACGGCCGTACGTAAAAGCCGCTGATTGGTCCCTATTTTTATCCTCCGAACACAAGGGCCGGGCCCGCCCAGGACAGATTACAGCACCTCATGCAAATGTATTGGCTCGAGACGATCAACAGAGGGGGCTCTAGGTTACTAATCGACAGTTTTAGATGCAGTAGAAGAAGACGCTTTGGTACAGAGGCTTGCTAAGATGGACATCAGAACTTGGTTTAGCAAACAGAAAAACAATGCTAGCACAAGCGGGGATGACGCATCATCAAAAAGGCAAGTGCAGCCAGAAGTTGCAGCTACAAGTGCTTCTGTTCCTCCTCTCTCCGTGCCTCCAGCACAGTCTCAGCAGACAATTGCGCTACCGAGTGGCAGCAGCACCAAAATAAATCGCTGCTCAGATGACCTCGGGGTGGATAAACCAAATCAGGTGCGCCTGGAAAATTATCCAGTTAGACTTTTCTCTGGGAAAAAACGCAGTTTTTCTTCTTCATGGTACCAAAATAGAACCTGGTTGGAGTATTCAGTGAAAACAGATGCAGCATACTGTTTCCCCTGCAGACAGTTTAGTTCTCATTCCTCATCATCCGACTCAACATTCAAAGAATCAGGCTTTAAAGACTGGAAGCATGCAACAGAAAAAGATAAAGGACTGAACAAGCATGCATCATCAAAAGACCACATATTGTGTGAGAAACTTTGGAGAGAGAAAATAATGTGCATTGAGACTGATTCTGAAATCACAACCCTGGTACACAAAGATCACCTGGCCCAACAGATATTATGTAAGCTCAATCATTGACATTGTAGCTTTTCTTGCTATCAATCTGCCTTTCAGAGGAGACACTGATGCATGGGATTCAGCAGGACAAACTGGTAGTGGCTTATTCTTATCATTGTTTGAGTTTACTCTGGAAAAAGACCCAAATTTGGCTAAAATAATTCCTGCCATCCCAAGAAATGCAACATACACAAGCCACCAGATTCAGAATGTAATTATAGAACTAATGAGTCGACAGGTGACTGAGCATATTGTTGAGGAAATAGGGAACTCTTTTTACACAGTCAAAATGGATGGAACCAGAGATCCAACAGGATGTGAAAATCTCTATTGTCCTGCGCTTTCTTGATGAAACGTATGCAATAAAGGAGAGACTGCTGACTATTGCTACATCAGACGCAGGTGATGCTGAAACTCTCACACAGACACTGATCTCAGAAATAAGAAAAGCTGGCCTGACAACAGACAAAATAATCAGCCAGGTGTATGATGGAGCCTCTCTGATGTCAGGAAAACTGGGTGGGGTTCAAGCTCTCCTGCAAGATGAACTTGGCAGAGAAATCCCATACGTGCACTGCTTTAATCACCAGCTTCACTTGGTAATAGTTCATGTCTGCTGAGAGAGCTATTGAAGATCTATTTAGTGTCTGCAATGCCCTGTACAAGTTCACAAGAAAGCCCACTGTTGCAGCTAGATATAAGGGAAACACACTGAAACGTTTTCTGGAACAGCGCTGGACAGGACACCTGGCTACAGTAGAAGTCATTCTCAAATCTTTTCAGGAGATTCTTGAAGTGCTGGATCATGTTGACAACACACCTTCATTCCCAGCAGACACAAGGATGGAGGCAGCAGGGCTGCGTAGCGCTGTGTCCAAACCAAGCTTCTGCTTCCATGCTCTTGTTGTGCAGAAGATTCTGGCCATTCTTGAGCCATCCAACAGGATGCTACAGTCAGAAGAAATTGATCTCCAAACAGCTGTCCAGCTTGTGAACAGTGCCAGGGAGTGCATTTTGGCCCTGCGCACTGAGGAAGTCTTCATGGAGTTGTGGAAGGAGTGTTGTGGAACGGAGGCCAATGACACTGCCAGCCATCAGAGTAAGAGAAAGTGCAGTGTCAACAGAAACCTAAACGATTACATTTTGGAGCAGACATCAGGAGCACGACCACAGGAAAACCAGATCAAAGAACAACAGCGATTGTTTTACAGCTGCATTGATGCTGTTGCAGGTGAAATTGTGAATGAATGAATGATCAATTTATTCAGTCAGTTATCTTAAGATAATGTACATTAACATGTCATACAATTAGATACAAATACCATTTCTCACTAACATATGCCTTGTTTTTTATATGGTGTCTATTTGGTATATCATGACTGAATAGGTTTAGGCAGAAGCAATAGCTTATATAATTGCCTAACCTACTTACAAAACATTTTTTTAATTTCCCGCAATGAACCAACAACCCAAATAAAAGTAAAACACAAATCCATCCATCAACATCAAATTAATACTCTTCAAAAATGTTTTTACTGATAAGTTTTTTAAGAACTGAAAGAGAAGTTGCTAATTTTCATTCTATTTTAGCCTCATTCCAAAATTTTACTCCCATTACAGAGATACATCTCCTTTTCATGCCCTTTTTGGCTTTTTGTAGAACAAACATACATACACCTCTTAAATCATATTTACTTTCCCTCTTTCCACCGTGTGCACCGTTTTGGAGAGCGAAACAGCAAATTGATAGAAAGTATGGCTTCTCTTTATCCAGAAAGTACCTCCTTCCTGGATCCTGAAAGAATTAAACCTCTGCTTGCTCTAACAGGAACCACAGTAAATGAAGCTGAGTTTGTGGTTGCCTGTCAACACATTCTAAAACACACAGAGACCTTTACACCGCCAGATGAAGGGAAATGGACAATAAAAACAGTGCTTCATCATTTTCACAGCAGCCTGGAAGCAATGCCTAGTGTCATCACTGCATATAAGGCTGCACTGACCCTTGGAGCCTCTACAGCCTTGTGTGAGAATAGTTTTTCCACTTTAAAAAATGTGTTCAGCGAGCACAGAAGAAGCATGTTACACACCCGGAAAGCTTGTTTAATCCAACTTGCCTTTGAGAAGGATCTGACCAGGAAATGCAAGACAGAATGGAAGGACAGATTGTTGAGGAGATTTCATTCATCAGGAAAACACAGACTGCAGCTGTATTAGACCTAAACAGGCCAGTAACCCCAGAGGTGTTTTTACTCAAAACCCAAAGAAGATACTGCAAATGAACACATGCAATGCATTCTCACCACAGAGAAGCTGAAAATCCCACATTTGAATTCCACTATGTTTTATTAAGAAATTCAATAGAGCTTGTTTTCAAGTTTGAGCAAAAAGGGTGTTGATGTGTTAAAATAATTAGTATTTTTTCAAAACATTGTTTTTTCAGTAGACATTCGTGTAAAGCTGCTCTCAAGTTTCTGGAATAAATTTGTTTTAAACACAAAATATGTTACACATACTATAGTTTAACAGAGTGTTGATTTGCTTCTAAGACCTTTGGCATTATTATAATTTTGTGTACATAAACAACCAGGTTACTTCATTTCAAAGGTCACATAAAGTTAATTTATGTGCTTAGATTAAAAAAACTCCTACAATGTTTGACTAAAATGTTTTAAGAAGCACATTAAAGTTGAAACTCTTTGTTACCATTTTGAATTCAGGGGTGTCTGTTGTCCTTTTGATTCAAATGTTTTAAAACGCAGTTTAAACTGTTTTTGAACCATCTTAAATACGGGGTTGTCTGTTCTCTTTTTAGAAAGAAAACACTCTAGATTTTCTAAATCTTGTTCAGAAGACCTAGTTTACACTTCTTACCAGCTGGTGGCAGTAACGCACCAAGTCAATGTTTACCAAGAAGAAGAAGCACGCAGCCAAGAAGTTTTTTTTTTATTTGCACAAAATATAATGTACAACAATTATGGCAATCTCTACAAAGAATCCGTTTTACCAACATGAGATAGTACCAGAACAGGCTGAATTCCAACATAAAGAAGAAGGATAATGAACAGGAAGTACTAACAACAACAAATAAATAAATAAAATAAAAACAAACCCCAAACAGAACAAATAAGCAAACAAATGAACAAAAAGACCGATAATTAATTAAAGAAAAGCATTAAAAAAGTTATACCTTAGGGGCTTTCTAACAGATTTAGTTCAACAATCATATGATTCAAATCCAGAGCTTTTTTTTGTCCATAAATTTAACAGATGAGAAAAGGAGGCAGAGTTCTTTGTGAAAAGTAAAATAAGACGGCTTTGTTTTCAGAAAACGACATTTGTGAATGAAGAATTTGCCCATAATAATTATTACATTTAAAACATTTTCAAGCTTCTTTTCTTTTGTTAGAGAACCAAACATAATATCATTTTTAGAAAATTCAAGTAAGTTTGGGATCTTAGGGAAGAGCCAGTAGTGCACATTGTTCCACAGGGCTTTACAGAATATACAGTCATAAAATAAATGCTCAGTTGATTCAATATCCCCATTACAAAAAGTGCAACAATTATCATCAATAGCGAAGCGACGTCTGAGAAATTCTTTGGAAGGGTAAACACCAGAGAGGATTTTGTAGTGGACCTCCTTAGCTTTGGGAGGAATGGGAAGTTTTAGGTAATTTTTTCTGATCTCTTTCTTTTGATCACCGGAGAACAGATGTGAGATGGAATTTGGATTGGATATATAATGGAAAAAAAACATTAGTAAATAATTCCCCAATTTGGGAGTTTTTTAGACTGTTAGCTGTTATGTTATGCCCATTTACCAACAGTTCAGGGAGATCAGGGCATCTATAGTCAGGGTTTTGAAAAAGATTATATGCTGGATGTTTTGAGGGATAGCCTTAGTAATTTTTTGAAATTCTTTGTTATTTATTTGCAGATCATAATTGGCGGTAAAATCTTCTAATAAAATTTTACCTCTATCATTTAACAAGTGCATCACTGACCAGATGCCCTTATCGTACCATTTTTCCATAAAGATTGATTTGTTTCCAACTGTTATGTAACGACAGTTCCATAGGGGAGTGTTGTGTGGGCTATAGTTATGTTTGTATATTAATTTCCAGTATAATAAAACTTGCTGGTGAAAGGAAGAGAGCTTTATGGGGAGTTTTTTTTATGTCAAAGTCACATCTAAGTAAGAGATTAAATCCGCC